ATGAGAATAAGATTCCTTCATTCCATCTCACTTTCCCCCATTTCCCCTCCATTGTAAAAGCTTTTTCTTGTCTTTTTCATGTGAGATAATTTACCTCATTCTACCTCTCCCTTTCTGCTTCTCCCAGTATAATCCTCTTTCACCCCTTAATTTCATTCTTCAGATATCACACCTTCATTTTCAACTCATCCTGTGCCCTCTATCTATCTATGTATCTATGTATCTATCTATCTATCTATCTATCTGTCTACATATAATTTTTTCTCCTCCAACTACCCTCATACTGACAAAGGTCTCATGAGTTATAAATATCATCCTTCCATGAAGGAATGTAAACAGTCTCTTATGATTTCTCTTTCCTGTTTACCTCTTCATGCTGCTTTTAAGTCTTGTATTTGAAAGTTAAATTTTCTATTCAGCTCTGGTCTTTTCATCAAGAAATGTTTGAAAGTCCTCTATTTCACTGAATGACTATTTTTTCCGCTGAAGGATTATATCAGTTTTGCTGGGTATGTGATTCTTGGCTGTAATCCTATCTCCTTCGACCTCTGGAATGTTATATTCCAAGCCCTGTGGTCCCTCAATGTAGAAGCTGCTAAATCTTGTGTTATCCTGATTGTGTTTCCACAGTACTTGAATTGTTTCTTTCTGATTGCTTGCAATATTTTCTCCTTGACCTGGGAACTCTGGAATTTGGCTACAATATTCCTAGGAGTTTTCCTTTGGGGATGTCTTTCAGGAGGAAATTGGTGGATTCTTTCCATTTCTGTTTTACTCTCTGGTTCTAGAATATCAGGGCAGTTTTCCTTGATAATTTCTTGAAAGATGATGTCTAGGCTCTTTTTTTGATCATGACTTTCAGGTAGTGCAATAATTTTTAAATTATCTCTCCTGGATCTATTTTCCTGGTCAGTTGTTTTTCCAATGAGATATTTCACATTGTCTTCTATTGCTTTTATTCTTTTGGTTTTGTTTTACAATGTCTTGATTTCTCATAAAGTCACTAGCTTCCATTTGCTCCATTCTAATTTTTAAGGAATTATTTTCTTCAGTGAGCTTTCGGACTTCCTTTTCCATTTGGCCAGTTCTGCTTTTTAATTCTTCTCCTCATTGGCTTTTTGGACCTCTTTTGCCATTTGGGTTAGGCTATTTTTTAAGGTGTTATTCTCTTCAGTATTTTTTGGATCTCTTTTAGCAAGCTGTTGATTTGTTTTTCATGATTTTCTTGCATCACTCTCATTTCTCTTCCCAGTTTTTCCTCTACTTCTCTTACTTGCTTCTCAAAATCCATTTTGAGTTCTTCCAAGGCCTAGGAATGATTCATATTTTTCTTGGAGGTTTGGATGTAGGAGCTTTGACTTTGTTGTCTTCTTTTGGTTGTATGTTTTGATCCTCTTTGTCACCAAAGAAAGATTCTATGGTCTGACTTTTTTTTTTTGGTGAAGTTTGCTCACGATCCCAGTCAATTACTTGAGTTAAAAACTCTTTGTTAAGGTAGGGGTCTGCTTCCATTGTGGAGGGTGTACTGTCCTAAGCTTCAGAGGTTTTGTACAGCTGTTTTCAGAGATACTTCTAGGGAAATATAAATTTTCAGTTCTTCCAGGGTGGTATGATCAAGGGCGAGGTGTTTACTCCTTTCCTGGCCTGTGCTCTGGTCTATGAGTGACCACAAGCACTTCTTTCTGCCTTGGAACTGTGAGGAGGATTCCCTCTCCACCTCCACTACAAGCTTCACCATGCCAGTGCTCCTCCTCACCCCAGGACTTCCACCCAGAACTGTGACCCAGATCGAAGCAGGGGCAAATCAAGAAATTCCTGCCTCAGCACAAGCAAAGAGATCCCTGTAATCCCCCTCTGATCAGCGACTCGATTCCCCCTCAGTCTGTGGGCCGGAAGCTCAGGAAGCAAACCTGGGGCTGTGCCGGGGACTGGGGCTGAGACTGAGCTTCTCTTTCACTGTGGTCAGACTTTTCCTACAGACCTTCTAAGTTGTCTTTGGCATTTGTGGGTTGAGAAGTCTGAAAACTGCCACAGCTGCCTGTGATTCAGTCCCCTGAGGCCTGCTCCAGGTTCGTTGAGGCCTGGTTTTTGTTTGTGTGCCCATGCTGAATTGCACTCCTCTCCCAGCCCAGTATGGTAGACCTTTCTAATCAACCATCCAGATTGTCTTGGGCTGGAAATTTATTTCACTTTGTCTTTTTGTGGGTTCTGCTGCTCTAGAATTTGTTTAGAGCCATTTTTTACAGGTATTTGGAGAGGTTTGGGGGAGAGTTCAAGCAAGTCTCTGCTTTTACTCTGCTATCTTGGCTCCGCCCCCATCACCTAGATTATTGTAAGACCCACCAGACTTCTCTTCTTAAGTCTAGGAAAGCAAATACAATGTAGTGGTTTTGGAGTTTGGAGGCCTTTGTGTGAATTTCAAAGCCCTAGGTTTGAATCTTATCTGTAACAGTTAATACCTGTATGAACCTGGACAAGTCACTTCGACTCTTGAGTTTTTGCACTATATAATGTGGATAATCATACTTGTACTATTATTCTCACAGGATTATTGGAAAAAAAGTGTTTTGCAAAGCTCAAAGCTTTAGATATATGTATACTATAACTGCATATTTCTATTAGTCACTCCCTTCTTTAATCCATCTTCACACCACTGCCCAAACAAGCTCCCTAGAGCTCAAGTCACTGCAAGGAAACATAGTATATTGAAAAAAACACTGAATTTTGAGCCAGAAGTTGTGGGTTTGGATCTTGACTCTGTACCTGTTACATTGGACATTTATTCTCTTTGAACTTAGTTTCTCAAATTTAAAATTAGGTGATAAAACTAAATAACATTTATGGTCCCCTTCAGTGGAATAAATGCTATTATTCCACTCAGGTACATGCAGTGGTTCTCTGTTGTCCACAAAATAAATGCTAAATTCTTTATCTTATAATTCAAAGGCACTTACAATTCATTTATGATCTACTTTTACATCAAATTATTCCCTTCATATGTGTCCTATGTTTCAGATTAACTATATCATTTTCTGTCACCAGTTTTTGTATGTCCCTTTTCTATTTTTGTAGCTTTTTTCATGCCTGTCATGCCTAAAATAAACCTCCCACCTCACTTTACCTTTCCATTAAGGCTCAAAGCAGATGCCATCTTGTCTATGATGCTTTCCTGACCTGCTCCCTCCCCCTCAGGTAAAAATTTATCATACTATTTTGCTTGGACTTCTACTTTGCATTCTTCTTTGTTATCATAGCTATTTTTATACATGCCTTCTTACTTGCCTTATTATCTTGAGGACAAGGTCTCTGTCAAATTGAAATTTGTATCCTTATAGTTTAACTCAGTGTTTTGAACACAGTAGATGCTTAAAAAATATTTGTTGAATAGAATTGGATTTTCACTGACCGCCAGTATGTAAGCTATAGAATAGTCCACCGCTCAGGTACAGATTAAACTAAACAATTTCTAATGTCTCTTCTGGCTTTGATACTCTATGATTATTCATTCATTTCCCCCTAAAGTCTGCAATATCCTTATTCATTTCTTATACTGCATTGTAACTCCTAAGAATATATTTTAAGGAGCTCCATCATGACTTGCCTTTACCTAATTGTCTTACCTCTCCATTTCATTGAGGTAAACCTCCTTTCAATTACTCATATGTAATTTGACATTTTTCAATGCCATGCTCTTGCACACATTATCACTTTTCCATCAGCTATGTCCTTATCATTTTTTTGACCAAGCTCCATGCCTCTCCTTCTTCTGAAGAAGGCTCAACTTTGATACTTGAGAGCAGAGACTATACTGATAATGCTTCCATATCTTCTTAAAGAATATAGATTCACTTTTTACAATAACACTACACCAATAAAATTCACTTCCTCACCCCCCCATTCTCAGTAGTATTTTCATTATAGTATTTACCATATGTGTAGGTTTTATTACTTGTGTTTAGCATATTTGGGTCTGTCAAACTTCTACTGGACTCTAAACCACCTGAGACCAAAAAAACCAAAGTTTCTGTTTCTTATGTGTCTTATCGAATATCTTGCCCCAAACACTGGGTGCTCAGCAAAAGCTGATTTCTTTCCTGACCTCTGTGATCAGCCTTCAAATTGAATAATTATCTTCCAGAAATATTACACTATTTTATACATTCTTTTTGATGTTACATTTCTGTAAAAAAAATGAAGTCACTGTTTCAATTTTTCACTAGAACTATTAGTTACAATTTGTATTTGGGATTAAGATACTGAATTAACTGGCACCTATCAGCCATATAGCTCAGATTTTTTCCTATATCTACTTAAAGAATAATAACTTTGGGGTTTTTTTTAATCCTATGTGATCCCACTTGAGTTAAGTCCCAGGACAAAGAAAAAATGTTACTTTTTAATTTAAATAACAATCTCAATTTCTTTTCTTATTTATGTATTAAATAGTACTCAATTTTTCATCTTACAGAAATACAGGGAAGATTAGCCATAGTTTACAAATGAATCTGAAGAGAAAAAGCACATGATTTTACTAAAATAATTTAAAATTTTTTCTTTTTTATTACTAGAGCACTTTCTATTCTGATGTTCTAATTTGCATATGTTTTATAATTCTATAGTGAAAAATGTGTATTTTAGAGGGTTTTTCACATAATGTGTGAAAAATATTCTATAGCTATGTAATTCAACTTTCTAGCTGTGCTGGGGTATTCATCAAATTTGACATTTACAAGATTTATAATGAAAAGCATTCATGAAGAAGAGTCTACTTTGAGAGGAGATAAGGTTAGTCATTTGAAATGAGTCACCTTTCACTAAAATTTTGGTTTTATATTTTAAAGCTAAAATTTAGATTTTATATACTCATATAGATATAAATAATGTCAACAAGGAATCATTACCAAAATTTTATATTATGTGAACTCTATTTTGTACACCATTCAGCCTCTATAGCAGCACTCTAAAATTAACTGATTAAAACACTTAATGTTTTACTTTACCTTTACATGTGGTTCCATTTCCTGTATAGCCAGGGTTACAGACACAATTATGCCCTCCAACAGTGTTGAAACATAGTGCATTTTTGTCACAGTTGTGCTGATTTGTGATACATTCATCATGCTCTGAAGGTGTAGAAAATAAATTATCATTAAAACCTGAGTGTGAAAACATTTTCAGGTAATAAAACTTTTAAATAATTATTTTCAAAAATGTGTCAGTGAAAGGACACAGGCACATTCTTTCGTAACTTCTTCAGAGGGGAAACGTGAAGAATCTAATGGAGTATCACCAATCAGAAGGGTTTCAGAGATCATCTAGTACAACAGGAATTCCCAAATATATCATCATTGACAAGTTATCATCCAATTTCTGCTTGAAGATTTGGAAATCTCTCAACTCCTCATTTTACATTTGAATGGTTTTAAAAGTTATATCATTTTTCCCTTACACCAAGCAGAATTTGGATTCTGAGGAAGAGAGTACTTCTAAGATAGAACTATAAAGTGCAGGCAGCAAGCTGAAGATTAGTAATGTGGTAAATTCAGAAGTAAGTCCTGGGGTTGACTTCGAAATCATCCGGATGCATGAATGAGTATGGATATGTATGTAGTCTCTTTCCAGACTTCCCTAAGTGACACTCAAAAGAGAACTGTCACCCTGGCTAATAATTGTAAGAAGACCCCAAATTAAAACTTTTGCTATTCTCTGAGGTCATAGCAATTCCTGTGAAGCATCTCTTGTAGCTACTCTTCTAAATACTCATTCTTATCCACTCACTGTCTAAATAGGAGATCTATTCAACAATTCTATAATTTAAAGTAGACAAAAATTATTTTATTCCTCCTAAGAATAAGGGTAGTAGTTTCTCTTAAACTTATAATTCACACAAGCCGCTAAACAAAATAAAAAACAAAAACAACAAAAAAAAAACTATGGAGTTTACCAGAAGGACAGTTTGTCTGTCTCTGAGGAGGCAACGTTTAATTCTGTTAAGTGAAGCTGAGAGATGCAGGCTCAGTAAGAAGGAAAATGAAATTGAGTCTTACACTGATAGCAACAACCCAAAGTTCATTTATGACGCCTTAAGGGGTATTTATGGGCCAAAGATCTATGGTACATCTCAGTTACTCAATGCTGATGGAGCCACATTGATTTGAACCAAATTTATAAGAACATAAGTCATTACCCAATTGATAAATGGTCAAAGGATATGAACAGGCAGTTTTCAGATGAAGAAATTAAAGCTATCTATAATCATATGAAAAAATGCTCTAAATCACTATTGATTAGAGAAATACAAATTAAAACTCTTAGGTACCACATCACATCTCTCAGATTGGCTAACATGATAAAACAGGAAAATTATAAATGCTGGAGATGTGGGAAAATTGGAACACTAATGCATTGTTGGTGGAGCTGTGAACTGATCCAACCATTCTGGAGAGCAAGGACTATATGCCCAAAGGACTATAAAAATGTGCATACCCTTTGACCTAGCAATAGCATTTCTAGGGTTCTATCCCAATGAGAGCATTAAAATAGGAAAAGGACCCACACATACAAAAATATTTATAGCAGCTCTTTTTGTGGTGGCAAAGAATTGGAAATTGAGGGGATACCCATCAATTGGGGAATAGCTGAACAAGTTGTGGTATATGAATATAATGGAATATGATTATGCTATAAGAAATGATGAGCAGACGGATTTCAGAAAAACTGGGACTTACATGAACTGATGCTGAGTGAAGTGAGCAGAACCAGGCGAACATTGTATACAGTAATAGCCATGTTGTACAATGACTAACTTTGATAGACTTAGCTCTTCTCAGCAATATAAGAACTCCAACTCCAACTCCAACTCCAAAAGACTCATGATGGGAAATGCTATCCACATCCAGAGAAAGAACTATGGAGTTTGAATGCAGATCAAAGCATACTATTTTCTCTCTTTTTTTTTCATTTTGTTTCTTCTTTTTTGTAGTCCTTCCCATTCATTCTAATTCTTTTTTTTTTACAATATGACTAATGTGAAAATATTTAATAAGATTGTATATATAGAGCCTATATCAGATGCACACAATTTTAGGGAGGGGAAGGGAAGGGAGGCAGAGAAAATTTAAAATTCAAATTCTTATGGAAGTGAATGTTGAAAGCTAAAAATAAATAAATTTTTAAAAAAAGAAATTATCTTAAAAAAAAGAAAGGACTGCAGAAAGGTTAATAGTGTTTGCTGCTTGACAACTCAAGGACTTTGATACTGTCAGTTATGAGGGCTTGTAGAAAATTACAGCAAAATTTGATTGACTCAAGAAGTTCATCAGTATCATACATTGTTTGATGATGGCATGCTTTCCCAGGTTCTAGATAATGGATGATGCTCTTATGCTTTCCCAGTTACTAATGAAGTGAAACAGGGCTGTGTGCTTGCTCCCATGCTCTTTAGCATGATGTTTTCTTTAATGTTGTTTGACACATTGAACAAGGATGGAAAACAGCATCGAGATCAGTTACTGTGCTGACAGTAAATTATTTAACTTGAAATGGTTACAAGCTGAGACTAAAGTGGATGGAGAGTTGGTGCATGATTTTTTGTTTGCAGATGATTGAGCACTCAATGCAGCATCTGGGGCTGAGATGCAACAAAATATGGATTGATTCTCTACTGCTTGTGCTAATTTTGGCCTAACAATTAACCAGCCAGCACCAAGCCATCTATACATGGAACCATTGTTTTTGGAAATGGAGAAATTTTGAATGCTGTGGATAAGTTCACTTACCTTGGCAGTATACTTTCCAGGGATGTCTACAGGGATGATCAGGTTGATGCACACATTGCCAGAGCTAGCTCAGTGTTTGAGAGGCTCCAAAGTAAAGTGTGGGAGAGAAAAGATATTAGGCTGCCTACCAAACTGAAACTCCACAGAGCTGTTGTGCTGACCTCATTGTTGTATGTCTGTGAAACCTGGACAGCATACCAGTGCCATACCAGGAAATTGAATCACTGCCATTTGAAGTGTCTTAGGAAGATTCTGAAAATCACCTGGCTAAATAACATACCAGACACTGAAGTCCTTTCTCAAGTTGAACTGCCAAGCATTCAAGCTTCAATGGGCTGGCCATATTGTTTGAATGCTAAAAGTACGTTTGCCTAAAAGGCTATATTTTATTGAGAACTCACAGAAGATAAATGCTTACATGGAGGTCAGAAGAAGAGATACAAAGACACTCTCAAGATCTCTCTCTGAAGAATTTTGGAATTGATTATGAGACATGGGAGAAACTGGCACAGGACCATCCAACATGTCATGCTTGAATCAAAAAAGGTGTTCCATAAGCAAAGCAGAATTGCAGTAGCTCAAAAGAAATATGAGACGTGCAAATTTAGAGACATCTCCACTCCAGATGTTCATATGGACCATTTGTGTCTGATCTATTGCAGAGCTTTCTGAGCTTGTATGAACTGATCAGCCACTGTCAGACACACTGTACCTTGACCCAAAGCAATGCCATTTTGGTCCTTCTCAAGAATGAAGGACAATAAACAACCAGTCAGTGATTAAACCTATAATGTATTGGGGTGGGAGACTCCAGCATAAAAGAGCTTCAGTGTGAAAGGGAGAGAATGAGTACCTCAGTCCCCCAACACTGCAATGGACCCAGGAATGGTTTTGTTGTGGCCCTTGATATCCAACTAAGCCCAGAGTAAGGGACCCTCAGTTAGGGAGGGAGATGGCCAGGATCCCAACCTCCTTTGGGGCCAGTGGATCACTGTATTGCACAAGTTTTTTGCAAACAATAAAACAGGGATTAATATTCCAAAATGCTATTTGTTTGTTAAGCTGTATTACCATGAATTTGTAAGTATGAAAGATGCTTAATAACTGAATTTGATTATGAACTGTACTACACAGATTTCTCCTGAGATTTAATTCAAGATTCTAGAGAAGATATTAAAAAAGGATAATGCAGAATCTCTCCAAGTCACTAAAGATCTATTCAGGATTTCAGACCATAGACTTTGCCCACACATTTCAAGACATTTGCTAAAGACAACAAATATTAAAATATTTGGGTGAAGGAAGGCAGAGCAAAAGATCAATTGAATCATCCATTACCCCATCTCAATAAAAGTAAATGACAAGATGCTATTCCCTGATAACTTCCCCCACCCTCATCCCGCCATAGGAACAATTAATCTTGTGAACTAGGTGAGAAGAGGAAGATGTGTTTGAGTGTATATGTGAATAAATCATAGGCTTGAAAATAGGTTGGAAAAGTCTTTGTTCCATTTAGAAGTCCTTGAAAGCCTGTAGAGGAAAGGGAGCCCTATTGCACAGGAAGTATATTGGTATTAGCTAAGGAAAACTTGTTTCTCTTTGTGGATTTTCTATAACATAGCAAGCAAATTTTAAATCCAGGGATATAATAACCAAGTAATGATCCAGCTAAGCTCCTGACAAGGAACTCTTTTGGTGGGAGAAGAGTTTTGGTCTTAGCCTTGGTCTCAAACTTCTTCCTTCTACATTTGGCTAGAAGAGGAACTTGTGAGCTTCAAATAGTCTGGAGGATTTTATACTTTTCCATAGGCAACCCCATGGCATATCTGGAAAAACTAACAATAATCATTTTACAACAGGAACCATGGACAAACAGCATAGTGAAGAAAGACAGATTCAAGGCTATATAGGCATCCCCATAGAAAAACTATACCATACCATAAGCAAACATCTTGAGAACTGCAGTAAAATTACTTCCAAGGGCTATTACTCCCTTTTATGCCCTACAAGTTTGAGTCACTTTCCCCTGGATCATGTATATACTTGGAGATTATATCACAGACTTTTGATGGGTTAATGTACAAGCTATACGACCATAGCAAATAACCATTTCCAAAAGAAGTCTGCTAATATTTATCAATGGATAATCAATAGAGGAAGCACATCACTGGGTGCTAGCTATACCATTAGAAAGATGCCCTCCTAATTACCTAGAACTACCTATAGATTCTCAGGGGATAGATAAATAGGCAGTCTTGCTCTGGGGACTTGATTTGTCAGTGTGAGTGGGTGGTTGCAAGATAGCCACAGAGCATGTCACAGAAACAGAGGGAAGAGTATGTTAG